CAAGAAAACGCAAAGGACCCTTTTTTGGCCGTTAGTTTTCACTCATGAACAGGTCAGAAAGCGGACGTATGAACGAGTTCAGCGCAACGCGTTTGGTGACAGCATGCCAATCCATGCTGCAGTCGAGTTGCTTTAGTTGTGCCGCTGCTGGCAACGCAGCTCGTCCAAATCACCAAGTAAACTAGTGGGCGGAACGCTTTGGGGGCGGAGTGCTGCGGAGGTCCTGCTCAGCAACACAGCACCTTTCGCCGTGGAAGCGCCACACATCGCTTCCTTGGCAGCCAAGTAATTGCTCCGTGTGGCGCAGGTTCTCCCCCGATGCGAAAATTCCTTATCGTAATCGCTTCCTTTAACATGTGGTCAATAATTATTTTTATTTATTTATTGGAGCCACTATGTACTATTTGGGTTTATGCATTGTTTGTTAATTTATCATATAAAACCTACTTTACACGCATTACCATGTCGTAAGGTGGAATGACTTGTCGGCAACCAGTACACATTCCACGATAGCCGTACAGTCGACGGTAGTCCGTCTCGCACATCATCAAGTCCTGCTTGATATAGAGCTTCGAGCCCATCTCACCCAGTCGGCAATGACATAGGGCACACTATAAAAATGTGGAAATCAGTGCAAACAACAAACTATTTCTTAACAGCAGAAGATAGAGAGAGAAGATTCTCTATTGAGGATGTCGTTTTAGCACTGAGCCATAATCGGATTAAAATTATCACAATCGATAGGGTAGTGTTTGAACGTGCGATTTTGAAGTGGATTGAGTTTACGCTACTTCGCAGCAATCACAATTCCTATAGAATACCAGTACAAACTGGTTCATTGAATGACTTTCATTGTAATTGTTAATTTTTCCGGTTTTTCATATCTTTTGATTTTCTTCCACTTAAGTTTCACGAGGGGCGGAAGTGGTGTAGTGACAAGTGGCGCGCTTACCACGCGAGCGGTCCGGGGATCAAATCCTGGGTCGTGAGTCGCCCGGGCCAACCAAGCCTTCCATCCCTCCGGGGTCGGTTTGTCTGGGAGGATAAAAACACTGACTTGTACATCGGCTGGCCCCCGCAAGTCATTGTATAGGCCACATCGCATTCAAACGCCACTACGAATGTACAAATGGAAGTAGAATGCGTGCCGCATCCCAAAAAGGGATTGATCAACGGCAAATGCTTTATCCTTTTTTAATGCTAAGTTTCAGAAAATTTACATTGACAATCAGCCCCATCCTTCCGGCTTTTCAAGCGCCTAAGTATGAACGAATTGTTGAGTTTTCAGTGAACTTTACTTTCTATAGATCTTTGATAACCACAGTAGCGAGTTGTATCTCTTTGTGTTTCCTATATTTACCTTAGGCACAACGTTATAAATAAACAGTAAACAATAAATGCCCTTTTGACCCCAGAACCATTCTGAACAAGCGAACAGTGCGCTGAACACAATGCTTTACGTTGCTCAAAGTTTTAGTCTATCTCGATAGCAGGAATGGAGCACTACGCGAATCGTCCAACAACATTACGGTCTGAACCCGCCTTGAAGACCTCGGCTAACTAGTAGTTGCCAGGATGAACTTTGTAAGCACCGCTACAACAACAGAGTTGAAAAGGGGATTGTATCGCAACAACATCTCCTCAGATGTGCGCATTCACAACTGATTTAGTGAGAGTTCGGTGCTCAGAAAGGAGGAGAGAGGCAATACGAAATAGATTTCTCTTCGCGAGAATTAGGATTGCTGATTTCTGCTTTGAAACGTGCATACTCGGCGGAGCTAATCAGGATTGGTGTGGTCGCCGCAGTAGGCCAGATTAAAGCTGTCTGCATTACCTCGCTTAGCGCAACCGTGAAGGACACTGGAATAAGAGCTCATATCTTCAGAGATTAAACTGAATCTGATCCCAAAACAGCGAGCTATGCGAGAGATTACATTATCCCTACTATATATATCCGTCGGGGATGAATCTTCATCCCCGACGCCGTCTCCCCGACGACCTTATGCAACAAGCCCCGAAGGTCGTCGGGGATATGTCCCCGACGATCGTCGGGGCTTGTTGCATACGACTTCGGGGATATGTCCCCGACGATCGTCGGGGCTTGTTGCATACGACTTCGGGGATATATCCCCGACGATCTTCGGGGCTTGTTGCATACGGCCCCTGGTGAATATCACGGATGATATCCCAACAAGAAGCCATTGTTGGGCTTCAAGAGCAGGATGGCCCAACTGGCTTCCGCACACTAACGGCTAACATGGACCGAAGGCGAGAGGTGAAACTTTGTCCTCAGCGACGAATGGATTTCTATCTTCCTAAAAATGATGTTGTGGACCCTGTGAAGTGTTCAGTCAAATGGAAACCTCATTTTGAGTATAAGATTCCAACAGTCAGAAATAGTGGAAGTATTGCCATGGATGAAGATGTGTCCGACCATTCGGCGATTCCCCAGTTCTATGTATCCAGCGAAATGTGGGTTGGGCTAAGTACAAGAATAGTCTATAGAATACAATGCTTCTCTTCGATAGTCAGAACTAGCCGAAAAAGATGGGTTTTCTATCGCGGAAATGACCCAATGCAGGCCTACCTCCTCACTGCCGCCTTCCTAAACCCAGAAAAAGAAGCTGTTATGAAGCGACCAAGTCGAGATCTAAAGTCTAATTGAGTTCTACACCCCACGGAAAAAAATGGGCTATGTCGCTTCAAACTCCCACATTCGCAGTCAAGAAATCCTGACCAAAAGCAATCCGATTTAATCCACATTGTGGCAGGGTTCGATTTAACGAGAGAATTTCCGCGATGAAAACAGCCACATATTGCCAAATTTAACCTAGGGATGGTGAGTGGTACACGAAAGAAGGAAGAACCATGAGAAACGGCCCAGAACCCGAGAAATGGTACCCCTTCCTTGCCCGTTGATTCGAGCATTGATGCGACTCTCATCGCTGTGCCCTCTTCAACACTACGCTCTCTCAGCTATCTAATCACTCGCCACGTATTGAACTACGGCGAGTGATCAGATGATCGGTGGGCGGAGATCGCCGGACCCGCCAGCTTTGAGGCATGATAGGTCGCCGAGGTCAAATTTTTCCATGCGAATTGCGCGTCAGTTCGCACCCTCAGGAGGTCCGTGGGTCCCTCAACTAGGTCAGTTTCCCTTTCTTCGACCTTCATTCTAATCGTGAATTCCTCCTTTAAAAGTCCTAAAATTCAACTGCGTGTCAATAAAAACGATGCTGACATAGAAATTCACAGCTACTCATCGAATAACTAATTTATCATGTAGATTCGAGAGCTATTTTGCCGAATTCGCTTTGGAATTGAGGAAGTTTCCAAACTTTTGACGCGCCATTTCTTATAAAAATTCGTATTTTTCAAAAGCGATCTCGTTTTCAAAAAATTATGTTGCTCATCGTAATCTACACTTGATTCTGTATATAATATGTGAATTCGGGACAATTTCATTGTCTATTGGCTACGCTAGATCAAAAATAAAAAAGTTTCCAAACTTTTGACCGCTACTGTATGTTTCCCGTGCTATCGTTGATGTGTTAGATAGTAGTGCAAGATTTGGAGTGCTGAGTTTTGAGCGGAGTGCATAATCATATAATGGAGCTGAGGTTCGGAAGTATGAAATCCCTGTGAGGTTTTCGAAATTTGAAAATCGTCTTCCATGATTAACACTTCGCTTCGAATTGTTTGCACATATTTTTCCTGTTTTGCAAACAAGTTTGCTCCCCTACACCTATTCAACGGGAATCGCAATAATATATGCGAAATTCATATCTCGAAATTTTTACAAAACTCATTGAAATAAATGGTGCAGTTGCACGCACTTTTCGCCTGTTTATTAACTGTCCAGTTTTAATTGATATTTCAATCAGACCGAATTTCGTAACTTTCAATGTCCCCTCACATGACTAGCGATATATTACTCAGCATAGCAGTACGAGGGTAACGTCAAACAATTCCACTACAAGAGAGAAAATTGGATTTTTTCGGCGTCAGATATACATGACTGTAATGACTTTCCTGAAAAGTAATTTTGTTTTTCATCAAGGAATTTCAATAAGGTAGAGATTTCGCAGTAATTTCATTTCCATAGAGAAGTATGGAAAATATACCGAGTGCACTCAAAAATTCTCAGATTCACCGTAGATTAGTGTTCCGGCTAGTAATGTAAATGATTAGCCAGAAGAGCTTAAAGGCAGAGATCAAGATCAAATTGATGTGGTCATCCCACCCTAGTTTGAAAGTAGTTACACAAGATGAACAGCAAGTAGAGAAAAAAAAGGAAAAGAAATCGCCAAAAAACAGAACATATTAATTTTTCGCTGCACGTTTGGTAAAAGCCTAAACACTGAGATAAGAAAAATGTGAACTGTGGAGACAGGAAAGAAATTCGTTTCAATAGAGCATACTAGGTCATTACAACATCACGACACAAATGAGATATCGAATAGTGGGCGGGCATGGACCCTTTCGGGCGTGTGAGGATCCGATGATGAATCTCTACTCACAGGAGGAACTTGCTTAGTACGACTGAAGCATTATTCATTATCTTCTAGTGGTACCAACATATCCTTAACGTTATGAACTTTCTTATCTTTATCATTACCAACAGAGGCGCATGCAGTAGAATGGCCTCGTTCATCACCATTTTCACCAAACTCCAATCTTAGATAAAACGAAAAGCAAAGAAGAGTGCCAATAAGCATGTTGTTTTTTTTGGCCTCTTGTTTTTCCCTTCTCCTCTTTTTTTCATACCGAATTTCCCTATCGTCGCGGAGCGAGTTTAGTCCTGCCCGTGCAGCGTATGACAACGTCAGCGGCTTTTCATTCATCTATTGCTTTGGCTGTTCTTCATGTGCTTAATTAAGGTCAACAGCGCTAGAAAAAATAATGATGCGACAATTAGCACTGGAATGACTCATCATTAAACTAGTTAATTAGAGCGCCTCAGAATTTTGACATTTTAATAGATCTTATTAAATTTGACTTTTCTCTTCAAGCTGCACATGTTCCAAAGAGCATTGTCTAAACACCCCCGCCATACAACTATCCCCGCTCTTAACCTGGGTCATTATGCATCTTTGCTTCTAAGCAGGAAGAGCTTGAAACGGAGAAAAGTGTGAATTGACTGATGCCTTACATGTTTTCCAATTTGAGAATGGAGCGCTTTATTCATTGCAGAATGTCGAAAATCGAGCCCTCCTCAAAGGGAGATAAGTTTTTTTTTGGAGAAGGGCTTCTGCAAAAATGGAGACAGATTCTGGAATCGCTGGGCCTCTCTCTAATCCCTACTCCTTGTCGCTACTCCTTGAAAAAAAAACCGGGCTTGAGTTTAGGTAGGAAATTCCCTTGTCGCAAATTTAGCGCGCAAATTTGCTCTCACACAAAGGTTTTTCAAAATTTCAATAGCCGCACCTTCCTTTAAGAACAATTTTAGAAGACCAGAAAGCACGATTGGAGTCTACGAGATTCCCTATTACGTGTTGCAGTGAACTATTTTCTTCAGCTCACCAAATACAGATAATCTACTTTTTCTCCCAAAGCCCGTCAAGAAACCGATGTGATTCAA